TTGGCTGTTTGGCATCATTTAAGCTTTGGTCTGTCTCATCTGCGGGTCTAAGTTGAACACTAGAGAGCAATTACTGGGCACAGGCCTCCCATTGCAAGGCGGCCTATAGACAAAGGACTCACTCTTCTTACCCAGTCGCTTCACTCTGCCAGGCTCTGCTTCATAGTCTCACGCGCCACGAGTGTCTTCCTCTTTCCTCTTCTAAGAACCATGTCGTGCGTCAATACACAGTAACTTCTAGCACGCTGAGACCCGGAAACGCACGGAAGAGAGCGGTTTCCCTAGCCTGCTAGGCGTCTCCGCAAAATGAGCTCTCAGTTGGGGATGCTCACCTTGGCAAACTTGCCACAAGGTCGAGGACGTTGATCATGCTTTTGCGGCGACGCCGGAGAAACAACATTCCAGCTCCACTACGACCGGACTGGTGATGGCGACCAGCCTTTGCTGAGAAGTTGTCCTACAAAAGGACCATCTATCAGACTATCACCGAGATGCTCTCTATGTGTTAGGGCTACAGCGGTACGTGAATTTGCCAGCTGGCTGATGAATCCAAACTATATCGACTATCATGGAGACTATTTATAGATACAGAGATGGCGTGATATGGGGTACAGTGCTAAGAGGGTGGTCATCGAGGCGTAAATCATATGTAGTTCAAAATACGCCAAAGGCTTTTACAAGGGACTTCTATATTATATTGCTGCAATAGTAGTGACCACAGCGCAGTCAGAATGAGCATCAATCTTACTTCAGGACAGATCAACTATATTCCATAGATAGTTTATATTGTTATTACATCTGATTATATATTTATAGCACTTAAGTCTTTCAAATGTTGAGTAAAGTGCGACTGAACTGTATATAATGTTATGGTTCATGTTCACTTGTAATAGGCTAAAGTGAGACCTTCCAACAAACGGAGCATCGCGCCGTGTTCTAAACCTCTCGAGTGCCCCAACGGCCAACTTCTTCTGTCTGTCAACTCCATAGTCGTCGTCACCTGCATGTCGTGGAAGTTCGAGTGCGTTCCGCGCCCACTCCCCCTTCTTCACAGAGTTTGGCTGCAGAGGGAATCGCTACTCGGAAAGCAAGAAGACCCTAAGAGACACGTGGATCTCTGGCCTTTCGTGGAGCTTTCGGCAGCCATGCATCAGGAACGTTTGGTATCTTCTCGCATGAATTTCAGATTCGCTGCTCGTATGAGGAGCAGGTCCATATAATCCGGTGTTACTGCGGCTGCAGTTACTGAAAGTTCGCGCCTTGCTCGTGTCCGGACGGCGTGATGCAGATCGTCAGAAGCAAGACGCAGCGAGCTAAAGTGTGGGTGATCATGAAGCAGCTGAACATGGCAGTTGTCGGTATTATAACTCGCTGTGGATGGCACTGCATGCTTTCTCAGATAGCTTGCCTTGTCTGTACAGCTTGCGGGGTCCAGGGCTCGGTCCCCGTCATTAGACTTCAGATAGATATTGCCATTACTCATTAAGGTATACCAGATACCGCTTTCTTTTATAAACAGATCAATCAGAGACAACATGATGGACCGTCATTACTTTCGCAAATTTCCCTGGTCCCGGCGATGGTAATAAGCATCCCGCATCGAAGTCGTGGCTGCTTGCTGCGGAATCGGCTGGCATATTCGTCAGTTATATGAAAAGCCAGGTTCTGGAATCGTCATACAGGTGAAACAAATTGGCCACTCCCTGGCAGAGGCGGCCGGGCATAGTAGAAACCCCGTTGCTGTGCTACTTGGCGTAGCTTATTCTCAGTGGCCGTGGCCATTTGCATCCCCATCGGCATGCCTTGAGGTGCTGTCGAAGCATTATTCAAGCCATCACATCGATGGTGATAAAACTGAGGCTGGTTTTGGTAGCAGTGGTACTCGTTCTGCTTTGCTATTGATGCATTTCGGTCCGCTGCCAGAGGCGGATCACGGTTGTGATAAAAGTTGGGATTGGTTCGGTAGTGATGGTACTCATCCTGCCGAGATGAATTCGCCGACTCCTGTGTGGCCATCGGTCGATTGGAATAGTATTCGCTTTGCTTGGCGGTCTGATATGACTGCGGTATGGGATACGAATCGCGAGGAGTGTATTGGGGCGGAGGATGTGAGTAATTCGGAGATGAGGGGCCGTTCACTGCTGAGAGGAAGTCTACAGCATAGCGATTGTAGCCTTGGGTTTTGATGGAAGAATCCATCGCGTTTGATTGCAATGTGAACTCCAACTGAAGCAGTGAGAAACGAATCTTGTCGCGTTCGCTTTCTAAGTGGGAAGTGGGTGATATTTATACCCACGAATACGAAGACTCAGCCTCGCTCATGCTCAGCCTCGTTGATCTTCAGCTCGTACCCCACCATCCATCCTCAACATGAATCTGTAACTTCACAAAAGCCCATGGATCCATGGACCCGTTATCGCTCACAGCAAATGTCGCTGCCGTCATCGGCCTCATCGACACAATATGTCGCATCGGAAAGGAAACATGCCAGCTCATTGCGGCCGTGAAGAATGTCCCCGCAGAAATTCAACAGCTGCAAGTAGAGATGCACGAGGTGGAATTCCTACTCGAAAATGTCCATCGCTACTGTGATGAGTACCAGGAAAGACTGCCGTCAATGAGCTTGCAGAATATCTCGCCTGTTATGCATATCTACTCGACGCTCAAATCCCTGGAGAAAGAGTATGATAATATCGCGGCCATTGTGGCCAAGAACCTCAATGTCGAGTCCGGTCGTACGAGGCAGAAGCTGAAGATGGTGGGCGGAAGGGTCAAATTGGTGCTTGGAGGGAAGCTGGAGCGTTCATTTCGGAATCTGGATAGATGCAAGAGGCAGTTGAGCATGAATCTGCAGGTATTGGGAAGGTAGGAGTTCACTATCGACCTGGAACTTGGATCTAAGGCTGATGGTGACTAGTTTAAATGACCTTGCTGTTCACAATCGGTTGGATAGTATTCACGATGCTGTGTCGATTATCAGAGACAGTAGTCAGATACTTCCTCTCTCGAATGTCGATGACAGGCCTCCTGCTTGGTCAGAGAAGGGTCAACCCCCGTCTGACTTTTCCCATTCTCTTGAGGCCATCGACTCGCTCATGGCACAGCTTACAGCTATGAAGATACGCATCGAAAAACAGGATGACAAGACAGACCCTTCCATGGACAGCTGGGATAACTTCGAAGATGTCAAACGCGCCGCTCTGCCTCTGATGTTACTCCAATCCAAGGTCCGAGAAGCATTACAGTTGTTGACCACTTCCCAACCGGGACATGAGAAGCTGTCCACCATTGATGTGCAGTGGGTTAGAACTGAGCTGGAGAGTCTGCTTGCGAGTAGCCACGAGAAAGCCGCGGCCGTCATCAAGACGAGTTCCCAGAAAAGTGACAACGTCACCCGTGATTGTGGACGACATATCGCAGGCAGTTCCCTTAACAAAGGAAGAAACAGATCCCAACGGACTCAACAGATCGTATCATCGCAGGTTGTGCTTCAAGATTCTCCCGCGGGCAAAGTCTCCATCCGCGTCCAGTGGACCAAAGACGCTGACTCGAAATCTGCCCGTGCATCCGATATTCTTCTTCTCCTGGCGCCTAATCCACAGGTGGCCGAAGATGGACTTCTTGTTTCGCTTTCGAGGCTTCATGACGGGTTGAGCAAGCCCACAATCACCAGGCATGTCTCGTCCTACGCGATCGTCGAGACGACATCACCTATATTTACGTCTGTCGAGGCCAATGACATACATTCTCTGCGGCTACTCTTGAAGAGCAGGGATTTTTCGCCCACCGTGCGAAATACGGAGAATGAGAGTCTCTTATCTGTAGGTTTTCCAATTTCCAGAGTCGTCCAATCTGACCGTTTAGTTCGCTGCACGACTCCTCCGCTTCGAGATATGTGACCTCCTCCTTAATGAAGGAGCGGATCCCAACCATTGCCGCAGGTAGGTCCATTCTGGAACTCTGGACCGGGCAGCATCTAACAAGACTAGTGACGGAGCAAATGCGATCTACGACGTGCGAAATGCCTTCTGGTACCGAGCAACCAACTATACCATTCACAAATCAACCCTTTACCGTATCCTCCGTCTATTCATTTCCGCCGGCTGCGACATCAACTCCGTCGCTCTGGGCGGCAGCCCTCTCCATTTCACCGTCAGCCATACTCTCCCCGGCTCCGAGCTCATCAACGAGGACGAGATCGTCGCCTTGATCAATTTACTAGTCGGCAGTGGCTGTGACATCGAGCACGAGAACGCTGACGGCCTCACCCCACTCTTGTACAACGCCTGCATTCCACGATGGCACGGGGCCGTGGTGCTCCGGGAACTTCTCCAGTGGGGCGCGAACCCGCACGCAACATCCCACCTCGGCGAGGGCGCGCTGCATCTGGCTATGGCGTTTTCCGGGCCCGAGTCCGTCCACGGCCAGTTGGAGAGCGATTCGTTGGAGACGAGGCTCGGCATCCTGCTGCAGGCGGGGTGCGATCCGAACCTGCGAGATGGGTACGGGCACAGTCCGTCGGACTTTGCGTTGAGTTCTCCACGAATTTGGTTCCAGTGGTGCTTAGCTGTCGAGAGGGTTGGGCTGTCCATGACGGATATTTTGGGCAGGGAGGGTGTCTCCGAAGACGCCCGGCCGGTGCAAGGCTCTACATCCGCAGATTCAGATTGGGAGTCCTGCAGCGGAAGTGAAGACGAGGACGGGAGTCAGGAGAGCACGAGCTCAGATACTTGCTCGGACACCGAACACATCTTCCTATGCTGGAACGGGTTCTTCCCATGGAGTGTTCCGCCGTACTGTGCCGACTGTGGTGTAGTCTGCGAAGCGGAGGATATCAAGCGGAGGAAATGGGACGCGTGGATGGTTTTTCAGGGATTGAGAGCAAAATTCATGATGAAAAGCCTTGATTAGACGGATGCAAGGATGCAGATATTCAGCATATCCAAGCCTTTCAACTCTACTACTCATCCCTTCCATCCCAAGAACAATCCAATAGACTGCTACTCCTCCTCCTGCTGCTCCTGCTCCTCCTCCTCCCCACAACGCACACTCCCAACCTTCCCCACAGCCCCTGCAGGAATCTCAGTTTCAGGCGAATAATCCGTCCCATTCCCGGCACAGTTCATCTCACTGCAATAGCAATCCATCAGCACAGCACGAACACATCAATCTCACAGGCAGAAAGCACTTACTCGTAAAACCGACAAGGCCCGTTAATCTGCACCTCTTTCACAGGTCTACCCATGATTAGCTCAGCACTCGCAGTTCTTTTCGTCATGTGTAGACGCACTTCCCCACAGAATACGTGATACAATTCCCTGGTAACCCGCTAAGGACAGAGACCGCGTTTTGCATTTGCAGTATGACCTGAAAGTCGAAGTACACTTAGTTCCCTGGCACGCAGAGTGGGAGGGGGGAGAACGTACAATTGGCCTTGTGTTATTTGCTGCGGTGAGCGTGAGGAGGGCGGTTAGGGTAAGGGTCGTGAGATACATTTTGCTTTTGCTTTTGCTATCGAGCTCTTGGAATTAATTGGAGTACAAGGAAGGTTGTGCTTGTGTGCTAAGGCATAGTTAGTGTAGGGCATTTATACCCGCGCGTCGAGCAAGGGGTGTTGTTTAGGTTTTGGCGTGCATTCCGGGTGATGTATGTGGCATGCTATCAGTGTCGGGATTTCAGACCCTGGAAAAGAATCCCTGATTTGAATCGAATTACTAGCTACACTCTGACTGAATCGATAAATAGATACAATCTTATCACCAACCTCAATCTCAATCTCGTATGAACATTCCTCCTCATAAAATCAAATTATAAGTAGACATTAATATCCTTTCCTTTCATTTGTCATCCTCATGTCCATATCATGTCCATGGCCTAGATCATCTACAGCAACAGTGCAATTGCACCAATAACCAAGGCCTTGCCGACAGACGAGCCCAACTTGCTGGCTGCACCGGTGGCGAGCCCTCCAGGAGGAGCGATGGTCGTAGGGCTCGACTGGGAGGTTGTGGGCTGAGGAACCACAACGGGCGTAGTGGTCTTTTGACCACCGCAAGTCGTGCACGGGGCAGGGGCGGTGGTCAAGGTGGTGGGGCCGGGTGGGTTGGGGATGCTGGTGGTGCCCTTACACTCGTGGCAGTGGGTCGTCCCGGTAGCGGTGACGGTGACCGAGTTAGTGGAAGTCTTGGTCTGGCTGGTAGTGGAGGTGGAGGTCTGTGTTCCTGGGGGAACGGGGACAACCGTGGTCGTGCTCTCGCAGGGAGTGGTGGTTCCAGTAGGAGGAGGGGTAGCTGTGGTGGTAGACTCGCAGGGAGTGGTAGTTCCAGTAGGAGGAGGGGTAGCTGTGGTGGTAGTCGTGGGGGTAGTAGTAGGGGTAGTTGTAGTCTCACAAGGAGTGGAAGTAGTCGTAGGGGTAGTCGTAGTTTCGCATGGAGTGGAGGTAGTTGTAGGGGTAGTAGTAGGGGTAGTCGTAGTCTCACATGGAGTGGAAGTAGTCGTAGGGGTAGTCGTAGTTTCGCATGGAGTGGAAGTAGTTGTAGGGGTAGTCGTAGT